GAGTGCAGAGTGCAGAGTGCAGAGTGCAGAGTGCAGATTGCAGAGTGCAGAGTGCAGAGTGCAGAGTGCAGAGTGCAGAGTGCAGAGCACAGAGTGCAGAGTGCAGAGTGCAGAGTGCAGTGTGTAGAGTGTAGAGCGTAAATGTATCCTACCTCTAGTATTTCTTCATTAGAGGTTAAGAATGTGCCCTTGATTTTCTTATCCTCATTCAAGTCCTGATAAACCTAAAATATGTTTAAAGACGAAGTATCTAAAGAAAGTTTAAAGACTTACATAAACATACATTCTATATGAACAAAATAACAAAATTTAGGGGGTCAATACTTTTCTTTCTATGACCCCGAAGTTATTTGCTTTCTTCAAAAATGTTACTAACACGGATCAAAAACCAAATAACAAATAATTTTGAAAGGAAGGAGACTAAAAAATATATCTCTAATCTCTTATCCAACTGGCAATAAATTAAATAACAATTGGAAACGGTTTCCTGCAACCTTAAAACATCTTTAGCTGCAAATAGTTAGTGTCGCATACAATTTTTAATTTTCACAGCTTTTGATTGGGTGTATCGCATTTTGCATACGCCACTCTTTTGGTTGAATTTTACACACTTTACAGCAGACAAACTTAAGATTAAACTTGGATGGAGAATAATCACCAGTCAGAAGTTTTCAGATCAGAATATTCTAGGGGGTTATGTTATGGTACGGAGCGGGTGTGTCAGAAAAAGAAGGAGGGGGGTGATATGTTCCGGAGAGGGTGTATGAGGAGGGAGAGGAGGAGGGATGATATGGTACCTGGAGCATTAAAAACACAGAACTAGAGAATTCATGCAAATCTATCTCCGCTCTATTAATCTGAACAGCAATCCAATTCAAAAATACAAAACCATTACAAACTTGGGGGAGGGGGGCCCGGTCACCTGGTCAAGGGAGGCTATTAGGACTTGGCCTCCCTTTAGGTCACAGAAATTTATCGTTTTAGGTTTTAATGGGACCCAACGGGTGCTAAGACCCCACCTGCCCAAAAAAAAAAATGAAGCCCCCCCCCCCCCTGGACAAATTCCCTAAACCCATCAGACGATGAATTTAATATTCAATAAAATATTATAAGCTCTAATTTAAGTTATATGGTTAAATGGATCCCTTAAATAATGTAGATGTGGATGTGGAAGAAGTTAATTTATTCACACAATATTTATCAATCTCTAAACATTTTAGAACATCAGCCAAATCATCCTCGCCGGTCTTCATCTTTCATCTAAAATAATAACTATTGTTCAACTATGGAATAACTGTTATCCGTGTTTTATTCTCTCATAATTTCAAGATCCCCTGGGATAAACTGGTTTATGATATTTTTGGACCCCCGATAGGAAGGGGGGGGGGCTTCCTATCAATTTTGTACATGACCTAGTGTTAACCTATTTTCAACAAAAATATTCATTTTGTATTATTTCAGAATTAGGTTAGGTTAGGAAAATTTCTGGGCCGAGCGCTGTGGCTAGGACAGGCTAAGAGGCCGACCACTGCGGCTAGGACATCATAGAGCCGAGCGCTGTGGCTAGGACAGGCTAAGAGGCCGACCACTGCAGACAGGTCATACATTTAATTTCAACAATTTCCATCAAATTAGATTATATTTAGGATTTAAATAGGTTAAAACACTTACATGGTCTGAGCGCTGCGGCTAGAACATGCAAGGGGGCTGAGCGCTGCGGCCAGGACAGGCAGGGGATCAGGCGCTGCGGCTAGGGGGCCAGGCTCTGCGGCCTGGCTGGGGGGATCCAAAAATTGTTCACTAGGACAGACCCAATCGCTCTCTTGGAGATTGCCTCCAGTTAAATACCACAAGGCAGTAGCATAAAGAAACATTAAATTATTTTCATAACAACAGCCTTTACTTTGGTTCAGTTTCGACTGTTTTACATAAAGTTGCTGGAATTGCAATCAATTCAAATGAAAATTTATGAGTTTACAAATGTTAATCCGCACATAAGTTCTCTCTTGATTTTCACCAATCATCTACTTCAAGAACACTTATTTATGAAAACTGTTGTGATGATCGTTCCGCGGCAATTCTCACTGGAAACGCGCTTTCGTACTTTCTAAAAGTTGTTGAGCGCATCCCTGGGAAAAACCAGTTTGCTAAAAGTTACCGAGCGCTTCCTTCTTCCAAAAACCGGTTTTTCAAAAGTTTGAGAGCGCATCCCTCTAGCTCAACCGGCTGCAGCCACACAGCGCTGCTCTACCTACTCCAATCCATACACACACATCAATGGCGCAATTTTCTTCATAAAAATACAATTTAGCGATACAGAAGCTCCCCCTAGGTATTTATTTAATATTTATTTAACGTTTTATTACAATTATAGTTTAACTGATTGTTTATGTATTTTTCTGCAATTACCAGTACTTCTGTGGGAACGAGTGTCAATTGCATTTGTTGAACTGTTTTCCAGTTTTATCACTTTGCCTTTTTATTTTCCATACGTCTAAGAACAAATGATGTACAAGAGAAATCGTTCTTATCGTAAATAAGTTAACTTTTAGTGACCATTCACAGATCAAACATGGTTCTAAGTAGTGGATATTTTAAACAAATATGGGTGGGGAGCGGTCCAAAAATCGTTCTCTAGGACAGCCCCTATTGCCATATACAATAAATGATTCGGTTTTATAAATTCTATAAAATTCCAATTTGGAGCTTTGCACGACCCATTATGATGTGTGACACTATATAGGACTAATATAGTACGAAAAACCTTTTTTTATTTCCTTGCCAATTTTTACCGGAGACGCTAAAATTCACATTTATTCGGTCCAAATTAAATTTCCCATATTTACCATGATATTTCCACATTTGCCAGTATATTCCCACTCTCCAAGATGTTCCCGATTCTACCGTGGTGTGGCATTCCCGTATCAACAAGTATTTCTCTTTTTTCAAAGCCCCATGTTTGTCATGCATTTTCATATTTACCCCGTATTCCGCATATTTCCTTTATCTACCAGGATGTAATAAATTTACCATGAGTTATTTACTGTTGCAATCCCAACAACAATGTTGTAAGTTCATATCAACGATACTTTTCCCATATTTATAACGAATGCAGATTGCAGGGGTGTATATCTTTCAGGAAAAGTTGGACATCTAATGGCAACTTTTTTCATGCTCTTAATACTCCAAAAATTCATTGTATTCCCTATAAAACATTAATTTTCCTCATTTCAGCAAATAAAGTCCCAAAAGAACTATTTTAAAAGGGGGGAAGAAAAATTATATTTCGAGAAAATTAACACCCTGCTTCGAAGATGACTTTCTCCTTACCTAATATATCATAATCTTATCAAATAAACCAATTTTTCATCATTCGCGATGATTTTTCCATCTTATCGTGAGATTTTGTTATATCTTATTATAGTCCCATGTAAAAAAAATTCCCCCTCATTTGTTCACTCATACCTCCTTATTGGATAAATTATTATAAGATTAACCGTGATATTTTTATATTTATCATGTTTTTTGATAATAAATGTAAAGTTTTTTTTTGGTAGGACTGTGCAGCCGTGTAAGAAGCTGCCTCTAGTGGAGCTTAGACGTTAGAAAATCTGGTTCACTGTGGGGAACTGTATATGCTGCCTGTCGTGGTGGAGTTTAAACGTTAGAAAACCTAGTTTAGTTTGGGGAACTGAATAAGCTGCCTCTAGTGAAGATTACTAAACCAACCAATGTGGAGTTAATAAAGGAAATGCATGCCAGAAGACTTCCCAGACTGAACACAGATCCGTACAGGGTAACCTTTTAATTAAATATGTTTGTTTATTAGTTTAAGCGCTTCCCTTAATAGAACTCAAGCGAGTCACAACTTTATTTTGTACTTTTCAAAAACATGTCGCAAAACGCAGGGTTAGACACTGATATTTATACAATCTTTAGTAGTAGGTTAATGTTTAAAGAAACTCTAGCAGTAGGGTTACGTTTAAAGAAACTCTAGCAGTAGGTTAATGTTTAAAGAAACTCTAGCAGTAGATTAATGTTTAAAGAAACTCTAGCAGTAGGTTAATGTTTAGAGAAACTCTAGCAGTAGGTTAATGTTTAAAGAAATTGAGAACCAATTAAGCTTTGCCTGAAAAATAAACTTTCCCTATAGAAGTCAACTTACTCAATTTATAACTTTAAAACCAAGCCAAGACCATTCCCGTGGTTTTATCGAGTCCCCCTATCAATCGCCCAGGTTCCTGATGTACGGTTGGACAAAGTAAACAGACAGATATATAAATTATATATATAAATGTGTTCAGGAAGAGTATATATATATTTATATTAATGTGTTTAGGAAGAGTATGAGAACAGCAGTTACACTAAGAATAAATTTCGTGCCTTCAATCAGCACAGCACCGACAGGAAATCAATTCTTATACTTTTTTATTATAATTTAAGATAAACTTTAATTTCTCATTTTTTTTTTCGTTTTTGAATTTTAATATTAAAATGTGGTATATTTTTGCTGAAATTTAAGATATTAATGTTTGGCCAACGTTATTATCACCGTATTCACAAAAATAAAAAAATGCGCTAGAACATAAATTAAAACGCAAGGGCTGAGATAAATTGTTATTATTATTAGATGAATCTATTGATGAGAGCTGGGATTTTTGTGTTGGATCCTGACAATCCCGATCGCCTGATCTTGATATCCACTGTGGGCTTTTTAATTTGAGGATTAATGCTTAATCTCTTCATTTCTGTTATTCCTCCTCAGTTACTAGTACGATTACCTAGCGAGATATCGAATAAAGATTAAATTAATCTGACAATAAAGAAAATATCGGGATTAAAGATTCATCTCGATATCCATATTGCTAGAGTTCCCATCTCAGTTAACCTAACAATGATGTATATTTTCTCCAAAAATCCTATTTGCCACCATAAGTTATACATTAAAGGGAGTCGATTTTTACATTTTTAAAAAAAATCCAAATATTGTCAGTTCATTGGTATTGGATGGATTTTGTCAATCTTAACAACTTCTAGAATAAAAGTTTTTCTGTAGAATTAAAATAGCCATGTAAAATTACTATAAGGCTGGTGGGAAAAAAAGAAAAATTATCACTAGTAAAGAAAATTTAAAAAGATGCGTGAGAATCCGCTGATTACTGCCCAATTTTTTTCGTTTCGATATCTTGAAAATCTTTATCTAGGGTCAAAACACTGATTTTTTGGTCAAATTTTTGGCTCAAAATCAGTTTTTTGGCCACATCATGTTAATGTTATAACGGATTTTGATGATTTCAACGTTTTTGAATTCGACACGGATCTTTTTATAGCCATTCGATTTATTTTCAAGAATTTTTTTGCGCTTGCGTTAGTGAATTTTTCGACTTTAAAGCTCACAAAACCCGGTTTCTGCATGGCAATTTGGATTTTTCAAAAATAATCTTTTCTAAATATTGCTTGTATATCTATTGTGTATCTAATCTCTTNAAGGTAGATACAAAAGTTTGACATTATAAGAAATAAAGGTAGATACAAAAGTTTGACATTATAAGAAATAAAGGTAGATACAAAAGTTTGACATTATAAGAAATAAAGGTAGATACAAAAGTTTGACATTATAAGAAATAAAGGTAGATACAAAAGTTTGACATTATAAGAAATAAAGGTAGATACAAAAGTTTGACATTATAAGAAATAAAGGTAGATACAAAAGTTTGACATTATAAGAAATAAAGGTAGATACAAAAGTTTGACATTATAAGAAATAAAGGTAGATACAAAAGTTTGACATTATAAGAAATAAAGGTAGATACAAAAGTTTGACATTATAAGAAATAAAGGTAGATACAAAAGTTTGACATTATAAGAAATAAAGGTAGATACAAAAGTTTGACATTATAAGAAATAAAGGTAGATACAAAAGTTTGACATTATAAGAAATAAAGGTAGATACAAAAGAATTGGAAAGGCAATTTGCTCAATTACAGTTTAAATGCATTAGAATATCAGGGTTTTGCTGAGCAAACTTGTTTGAATTGGTAGATTTCCTAATTTTTTCCAAGTTGAAAATTTGCAGGTCAGGTTGATAATCTATTTTGAAATTGATAAATGTTTAGTCTGAGCGGCTGACAACGTTTGGTGACTGGTCTGAACATAAAAGCAGTTCAGGAAAAAGGTATTGAACTATTATTTGTCATATTTATTGGTTACTTTTTCTCAGAAAAATTTTCCCCGATATCTCATGATTTTAAGAATTGGGAGGGTCACATAAATTAAAAATTTGTGGACATTTTTTATCCCCGATTTGAAATTTTATTGATCCACCACCAGCTCTCTACAAGGCAACTCTCAAAGAATGACACTTCAGAGACGACTGTATGGTTTTGTATATGATTCTAACGTTTTGCGTTCTTGTGCAAACTTTTCAGTTCACCTATTAAAGATTTTAATCAATAAATAATACGAAATTTATTATGAAATAATTTCAATTCTCTTTCTTCATGACCCTGTGTCTATTTTCAATAAACAATATATACATTTTAATAGGGTGGGGGTTAGTCTACAGTACACAAAAATGTGTATTTTATCTATTAATGCAGAAGGGTCATGTCACCGCGTGTTTAATTTTGTCAATTTGTCAATAGGACCGCATGGTAGTCCGCTATTAGAACAAAACAGATCGTTTTGTCTATGGATACACTTTAGTAGAGCGTCGACCCCTATTTCATAGAATGATGGGTTGTCTGCTAATAATAATAATAATCTATGTTAAGGTACTACTACAACTGTAAGACCGAGGTTTCGCAGTGGGAGAAACCCCGTGATTGGGCAGATTTTGAACGGTCCAGGCAATCAAGCAATGTAAGTATTCCAGGCTTGTGTAAAATTGAAATATTAGACACAATAGGATTGGAAGGGGGAAGGGGTAGGAAATGAAAATTTTCGCCCCCCGCGCACAACTTCATGAAAGAAATGATAAAAGAACAATCAATCATTTTTCCAAATATTCGAACCTAAAAAAAAACTATGCGCTCAAATTCATTCAAAATTTTAGTAAAATATACTTTGAGAACTTGAGAAGTACAAGTAGACAACCCCGAGTAAAATTATGGGAAATATATTCTAAGAAAAAATATTCTCCAGAACTCACAAATAATCAATCCCAACTGAACTTTGCAATTGCCACCATACCCAAAGTTTTAAAAAACGTAGAAATGACGATATTCAACATGTTCTGAATGATCTACCTTCCCTTATTATTTTTTTTAATCGTTAATTTCTGAATTGTTAACAATTTTTTTCTCTTAAATGTTTCCTTTAAATTGCTTCTGATAATTTTTGCTGGTGCAAAAAATGATTTGAAAATATCGATGAAATAGTTCCCCTTAGTAAACTGCTCATTAAATATTAAAACTTTTTCTTTCTTTAGGATAAACGTCCCGACTGGTCGGAGAGAAGTGGAATCAACTCCGAGGGACGGGGTGGGGTAGAAACTAGAGGGGATGGTCGAGGAGGGGGTGAAGGACGAGGTGGGGAGGGACGAGGTGGAGAAGGACGAGGAGGGGAAGGACGAGGTGGTGAAGGACGAGGAGGAGGTGAAGGACGAAGAGAAGATGAGAACTCCCGAGCTACTCCTGCCAAACTACACTGTGATAGAACATTAAGAGGATCTAAGGTGAGGAGTCTCCAGATTTCATAAAATTCCATTGAATTTCATCAAATTGAACAGATTTTCATCGAATTTCATCGAATTTTATTAACCTACATTGAATTTCATAGAATTTCATCGAATTTCATAGTATTTCATAGAATTCAATCGATTTTCATAGATTTTCATAGAATTCTATCCAATCCATCGAAATCATCGAGTTCCATCGAATTCATTAATAGAATTCAATAGAATTCCAAAGAAATTCATAGAATTTCATTAAATTTTTTTCATCAAAAATTAAGAAATCTGCACATAGGCCTCAATTGGATAGTATTTTTTTTAAAAGAAAAAAAAATTAGGGTAAATTATTTTTTTCCTCTTTTTTATATGTTTTTAAAAGCTTTTTTACCAAAAAGTCTGATTCAAAGACAAGCTTGATATTTTTAACATCTAATTCTACCTGTTGGTCAAGAATATCAATATTAATATCAAAACGAAGTGGAAGGTTTGTCAGATCACATTCCTCCCTATTTTATCATATTATCCCACTTTGTTAATATTTTAAGATTTTCTGGATTCATTTTTCATCGAAAGTAAAATCTTTTGCACACAGACTTCTTTTTCCATGTCTTTTAAACTCGAAGAAAAAATATAACTTTGAAAAAAATGGAAATTGATTACAATTAATGGGGGAAAAATTGTAATGCCTACTTTAAATGCATTTTTTCAGTTAATTACATCATTGTATATTAAATCTTTACTTACCTTTATTACAGAAGTGGTGGGGGACAGGTTCTGGTAAATGGTTGAAAGTAAAGGGAAATATTAAATATAGCATGATTGATTGATTGATTGAGCGCCTGCTTCAATGATGGATTGATTGACTGATTAAATATTTTCCCCCGCTTAATACTTTGTTTTACAAAAATTAAATCCAATTAAGGCAGGTGTTCAAAAGTTTTTTATTTTTCGATAAAAACTGAATCCTAGAATCTAAAAAATGTGAAAACTAGGGGGAAAATTTATCTGAAAAACCTTAAACTTTGTACTAATGTTTATGAGTAATTAATTCATGAATCCAGAAAATCTAAAAATATTACCTTAGTGGGGAAAATATGGGGGAAAGTGATCTGAAAAACATTAAACTTCGTTTGATGTTAGTAATGAGATTCTTGACTAACAGGTAGGTGTTAAATACACCTAGCTGGTATTTGAATCATAACTTTTGGTGAAAAGCTTTTTAAAAAAAACATGGAAAAATCGGGGGGAGGGGAATTTCCACAATTTTCTTACTTTAAACAAACCCAAATAATGCCCAAATGCAAAATTTCATTCAGATTCCTAAAAAAATTTCAATTGGTTCAAATTGGTCAAACTCACCCTCCCCTTTCATTAAATTTCATTAAATTTCATCAAACTTCATTGAAAATCATTGTATTTCATTGCGAGCTTCAAAAGTATCAATACCTAAGTCAGTAGTTAGTAAGTGACCAGGGTGTGTGGCAGTACCTTGTTCATGGAATTTAATTTTATAACGTATTAAGTTGGCTGAAAGCAACAAAAAAACGATGTTTTGTTTTAAGGGGGAAAAAGATTTACTATATTTAACTGTCAAGGATTACGAGAATCTGCTTATTATTGAGGATCTTACCCACTGAACTCATTCAACCTAATACTTGTTAGATCTGACACTGAGACGATTCTTACAAGTTCTTCAAATTTTAATCCGAGATTCTTCTGTAAATGCATCTCATATATATATATATTTTCTAGAAGTATTCCCCTGGGAGAAGAAAAATAAATTTTATAATTTAACTTTTCAGGGCAATGCCACTTAAAGCCACTTTAACCTTACGCTTTCTGCTTTAAGCCCCCTCCTTACCTGGAAGCTTTATGTGCATTGTCCAACTTTTGCATATTTTCAATTATTTATGATGATTTTTTTCAGGATAAACATAGTTCGTCTCCTTTATCCTGTCGCTTAGGGCGGGATAGATCAGGAGACGCCACGCCTACAAGTGAAGGGGAGGGAGGAGGACCCGTACTTGGGACACCTCAGGGCCATAATCATCATAGTTATCCAGGGGGGCCTGTGTCCCAATATTCCGGTAGCTCCGTGTCTCAGTACTCCGGGAACTCAATGTCCCAATTCTCGGGGAATTCCATGTCCCAATATCCTAGCACCTCGATGTCCCAGTATCCCCCTGTGTCCCAATATCCCGGGGGCGCTGTATCGTTGTATCCAGGAGGCGCTGTATCCCTATCAGCTGCAATACCAAGGATATCCACACAACACAGTGTAAGTAGTTACTTTTAATTTCGAAAAAAAACTTATGTCAATTCTGGTAACAATCCCCTTGGAAATCCTAGGGTACAGGGCTGGAGAAAGATGTTTTTATGCATTTGGACTCTTGAAAGAAATAAATAGTGTTTATTCTGGGCTGCCTAATGATTATATTTTAAATTCGGTGATGGTGATGGACCAAACCTCTGTAGAGTAAAAAAGTAGATGTTAGTTCCACATTTATTGAAAATATATTTCAGTCTAGGTTGACTCTCGTCAGTTCTTGAGATTGTTTCTGTCACAAAGGTTAAAAAATTTTATGTTTAGTCTGGGCTGCCTAATGATTATATGCTTAGTCTGTGCTCCCTAATGAATATCTGTTTAGTCCGGTCTCCCTAATGAATATATGTTTAGTCCGGTCTGCCTAATGAATATCTGTTTAGTCCGGTCTCCCTAATGAATGTATGTTTAGTCCGGTCTCCCTAGTGAATATATGTTCAGTCCGGTCTCCCTAATGAATATATGTTTAGTTCGGTCTGCCTAGTGAATATATGGTTAGTCTGTACTCCATAATGAGTATATGTTTAGTGTGGGATCTCCAAAGATTAAATATCAGTCCAGAGCTGGGAACTTTTGAATGGTGGATATCGGGATTAGTGCTTAATCTCCTCATTTTCTTAATCTATAGATTAAATAATGCTTGTTCTCTTGTTTTTAATCTCCAGATTAATCAACTGATCGGGATTAAGGATATCCCATTCTAAAGTTCCCAGCTCTGGCTCTCTAAAGATTATATTTAGTCCTGACTCCCCAAAGTTAATAAATTAGTAATAGCTCCCTAATGAATATATGTTTAGTCCTGGCTCCCTAAAAATTATGTATTAGTAATGGCTCCCTAAGAAAGATATGTATAGTCTTTGCTCCCTAAAAATTATATATTAGTAATGGCTCCCTAAGAAAGATATGTATCGTCGTGGCTCCCTAAAATTAGTATATTAGTAATGGCTCCCTAAGAAAGATATGTTTAGTCCGGGCTCTCTAAAGAAAGATGGGAGTCTCCTCGAAGCACTATTTCCCAATCTCCTACATCCTCCAGTGAACAAACCCTACAACAGGTGAGTGCAAGAACTACCTTTGATTTTTCTTGTTCCTAAAAAAATATGACCAAACAATTGCACAAATCAATGAACAGTTAACCCGTCTGCTTTTTATCATGATATAAATATTTGTTGCACGGATTATGTGCAAACACTTTTTCGGCAATGTTAATAAAGTTCCACGAATTCATTTTTCTGAAAGCTATGATTACCCCCCCCCCCCACACCCCACCGACAGATTTAGTATTCCGATGTTTTTGTCACAACAAATTATTTTTGAACCATGAGTTAAATATTTTCAACTTTAAGAACATTTTTAAAGGTTTTTGGTCAACGTTTGAATCGTTACAATGTATTTAAATGTTTATGTTAAGGCTGTGCTATCACCTCTTCAACACCTGCACACTACTGCAGTCACGTTAACTCCTTCTTTAGCAAGATTGCATAGAGAAGATTTAATATCTCATGTACAGGTATAGTAGTTGTTTATTGTGTACACTGTACACAAGGGTGAAACACGAATGGGGTTAAAAAAATTGGTTGCATAGTTTCTCTGGGTGATGTGTGGCCCAATATGAGCATTTTGTGAAAACTTGAGGTTGACCGGAACATTGCATGAGGTGGAACTCGTTTTCAGGGAAAAAATCTCGATTTTTGGTTAGGACAGTGGGACAATTCGACACTTTAGGACACTACACTTCACGGATCTCAAAGAAAATTTGGGATCGGAGGCCGGTCAATCAAAAATCAAGATTTTCCTGGCTTTTTCAAGAATAAATTTTCATTTAAAGAATTTTTGAAGATTTTAGAGTAAATAATTGTTTAGTATTTACAAAAAGTAAGATCAATATAAAACTAATTTCTCCATCTTCATCTTCACCTTCATCTTGAGTCTTGAATCATCTTTTGGGTTCACCGAATCATCTTCAACCTATATAATCGATTTTACACATCTAGTTTTTTTTTATTTTGTACACTGTACGTTAGATATTGATTGGATTGTGCTATTTATTTATTGTGTACACTGTTCACTGTACAGATTGTTTGTATAGGGCTAAAGTTTGTTGGTATTTTATATATATATGTAAAATAACAGCAGTGTTCAGGATTGGTTTGGTGGGATTGTATATATACAGTGCCTGGCGTGTCCGTAGTTTTAAAATAATCGAACTGATATAGTCTATCCTACCCCCAAAGTACCCATGGGTTCCCTAAAAAAATTCCGTCAATTCGGTCCAGCTGTTTGGCAAGCTATAGCTAACATATACAAATATACATAAAATTTTATAAATGAGCAAAGAGCTTTATTATTTAGAATATATAATGTTGTGTAGGTTGGTGGTATTATATATCTTCTATCTAATAAAATAAGACATTCGTAGAAATGTCCCCTAAGCCGGCCAAACGACTGGACCGAATAGGCTGACATTTTTTGAGGGAACCTTAAGTAATCCGGGGTGAAAAAGGGAAACAAAAATTCAGAATTGTTTTTTTCTTTATCTTATTTTTTTAATGCTCAATTTTAAAAAATTCCACGGGCAACGCTGGGCACTGCAGCTAGTTACATATAAATATTGGTAATATTATATATATAACTTTTATAACTTATATATTAACATGTGTAATGTAGGGTTGGCCTGCTGAGCAGGTTGAACGGGGTTGTCACAGATTAACCGAAGAAGCTCATCAGATATCCAGTCATGGAATTACACGGGTAAATATCCTCCTTGTTACACGCAAATATCACATTAGTACCTTACATCAGTTTATATCTATTTACCTGTATTGAAACCCAGAAAACCATATTAGTAACTTACTTTAGTTTATATCTAGTTACCTGTATTGAAAACCAGAAAACTATATTAGTAACTTACTTCAGTTTAAATCTAGTTACCTGTATTGAAAACCAGAAAACCATATTAGTAACTTGCTTCAGTTTATATCTAGTTACCTGTATTGAAACGTAGAAAACCATATTAGTAACTTACTTCAATTTATATCTAGTTACCTGTAGTGAAAACCAGAAAACCATATTATTCTTAAAATATACACTCCTGGATCCTATGTTAAATATTTGGGTATTATGTTTATTTTGAAAAGGTTAACAATCCTTTTATAAATGTTATAAAGGTAAAATCTCCTAAAAAAATGCTGAAAATCATTAAAATTTATTTAAGGTGTCGGCTGAGTTGAAAATGGCAAGATCCCTTGTTCGGTTAGCAGAGATCCAGGCAACCCTGCAGGAGCAGAGAATTCTTTTCCTTAAACAACAAATGCTAGACATGGAGAAATATTCCTGTATATCTGAACCTGAACCTAACTCTCATACTATTCCAGACTCTACTGAGCACCGCTAATTTCAACCCCCTCGCCAGACCCGTTATCTCTAGAACCCCTTCTATCATCTGTGAGAAGAACTTATCAACTTGAATTCAGTTATTATCCATTGTGGGATATATTGTGAGATTATTCAGTGATTAGTAAATATTGGATGAATACCCCCCCCCCCCCCCCCACCCCCACGCACAGCTTAAATATCCGCCCCCTCCCCCTCACACACATATAGCTTAAATATCCCCACCCTCTCACACACATATAGCTTAAATATCCCCACCCTCTCACACACATATAGCTTAAATATCCCCACCCTCTCACACACATATAGCTTAAATATCCCCACCCTCTCACACACATATAGCTTAAATATCCCCACCCTCTCACACACATATAGCTTACCTTAATAAACCGGGCTCCCACACTCAAATAGCTTTAATATCACGCCTTCTGAACTTGAAAAATATTGCCCTCTGAGACTCCCTGCCCTGAAAATTTTAATAATGATGACTACCGACTTTTCTGCAGAAATCCTTCTCTAATTCTTGTTTTACTTGCATGCTTTTTCTTAATCAAATATTAATCTAGATTTGGTTCCCAAATTACGTTTTTCACGCCATTACATCTTTTTTATTTCTTTTTCTGTTTATTTTTACACTTTTTCTTACCATTAACCAATCGGTTTTTATTTTACCCTCATTCTCTTCTTCCTGCATGCAAGACGGGTTTAAACGCGTTCAATTTATGAGAATCTATTTTTTTACTTAGTTTTCTGGCTGAAAATCTGAATTAAATTGTTTTTTTTTCTGACTTTTATATTGTCATCCCCCCCCCTGTCAGTGTCCTTATCCCATTATATTTAATCCCATCCCTGCTCAGCATATTCATCCTTCCCTTGTGCTACTGCTATCATTCACTCTGAAGTTACTTGTTGTCAAATTTTATGGTTTTTTGCATTTCCTGGCTCCCCTCGTTTATAACACACAGACACACACACACACTGTTGAATATTTGTTGAACTTGTTATTCCTTTATATATAGTGTCATTCATCGAGCAAACTTTGCACAACCTGACGAGGACTCTGCAGGTGGGAGAGGAGGAGGGGGGGGGGTTGTATTAGGTGAAGTAGTTGCCAAATTAAAATTAAGTGGAATGATCTAAAAAAAAATGTTAGCTGGGCGAGAGGGGGGGTGGGTATATTTGAGTGAAGGTGGTTCCTTGTTAAGGTTTTGTGCAAGGTTTGAATCATTAAAGGTGAAACCGATCCGTGCATTTTGTGTAAATACTGTAATAATATTTCAATAATAAAGATGTTGGAACTAAGTAAAGTATTTTATTTTTATGTTGAATCGATGCATTTACTTGCAATATTGTGAACATTTAGGCTTTTAGGGTGTCTTGCGCCCCCTTTAAGCTCTAACAGTTACCATTTTATAGTTTTCACATTTTCATGATTTTTCCTTGGTGTACTTCCAAAATTAATTAATTTCGACATTGATCCCTAGCTGTTTAACTTTGACCAGCAATATGTCTGGAGTATTGGTTGCTTCACACATTTTGGTATCGTTTGGTTCGGCCGTTTCATAAGATAATGGGAGAGAAATCCAAACCAAGGCTACACTAATGGATAAAATATCATTTGATTTGTCTCATATTCATGTAGAGCATACATAATAAAAATATCTTGACTTAACAACGGAAGAGAACTATGAATTATAGAAAAATTTTATTATTTAACTTTATTTAAGACAAGCTTGGTTTGCGAAAATTTTACCACACAAGTTTGTTAATAAATTGGAAGAATTTAGAGAAAGGTAGTTTACGATAGTTAAATAATTTTTTTATAAATCTATATTTATCAGTATGAAAATATCCAATAACTTTAAATCTACAAAAATCGGCAATTAAAATTTTTATTAGATAGGTAAATTTGGTTTGTGGAAGGAAGATTATCAAGAACAGGAATACCTCCTCTGCCCAATGCTAACCCTCTAGGGCCACTTTGTAGTCGACTTTAGTGCATTGACCAGTTTCTACCCTTATTTTCTGGGAGACTTCTCTCAACAAACTCATTTAATATTTTTTCTTCGCTGGCTGTAAATTTTGGGCAATACCGGTTTCGGACAAGCTTGAAGCTTAATATTTTTAAGTTTTCCGGATAGTTCCATACCTGACAAAGCATGAAAAAAGTTATAGTTCACCGTTTTTTATTAATAGACAACTCTTAAAAGTCTTCAACATGAGATGAAAATTTCGTTGAAGCTTAAAAAAAATGCTACTCGAATAATCAAAACTTGTAATTTAGAACCTTCAAAACTGACGCCAGAAGCTCATGAAAACAGCGTTTTCTTTTGAAAATATATTGAAAAATATTTTGACAGTGTGGGCTAGCCCTCTACCCCCCCCCCCCCTAACAAAAGTTCTAGCTGCACGAGTTGCACCACTGTAAAAAAAAAAGAAAAACGCGGAATTCATGTGACGGCAACAATTTAAGACTGGAACTCGAGCACTTGAGTTTAAATATTCTTTGTAGAATAAAACAAAAACAAACAAACAAGTTCGCAATTTAAAAAAAATTCGTGGATTTTCAAATTTAATAGAAATTGGATTTTGTTGGAGGCTAGTTTCAGAAATTTAATCATTCATAACCCGTCTCTGAGACCATTTTAGGTCCCACACAAGCAAATTATATATATATATATATAGTTGAAAAAATGAACCAAAAATATTTTGTATTTTTATTGTTTTTATACATTTTCATAAGGCTGGTATGTCTACTTGCATCTTAACACTTGCCAATATGGCAATTTTGAAACTTGACAAAATTACATGGTAAAACACTTGGCGTTAGTTTCGTAAATAACATAAACATACAATATACATATTTTAATCTCATTTGTATTCCTAAATTTTTTAGATCTATAAAGTTGCTTAAAGAGACTGTAGACGGGATTTAAATTCACCATCCATTTATAGCGTGGCATGTCCAAATCAAAATGGTACCTTAAGAAAGCTTTGTTTTACTAAAATATGACACGCATTTCTGCTTCAGAATCAAATTGGAGGAACACATTTAAATCGAGAAAAAAGACGATATCTTTTACATTATTGGTCAGTTAAAGGTCAACTTGCCACTCTATAAATGTAAAATATGTTTACAGTCCCTTTACGTTCAAGTTATATGGATCGTATAATTACAGAGAAAAGACTCGAAACTGACCTAGAGGAAACGGATCTAAAAGATATCTGAACTAATAATCGAATAATTTTTTCGACTAACCGCGCGTTTTTTATTTTATTTTTATCGACTCCCCGATAAACTACGTCTAACCTCCATCCAACCAGGGCCGTAGCTAGGGGGGGGGACATGGGCACGTGGCCCCATTTTACTACTTTGGGAGGGGCACATTTTCTGAGACAAAAAAAAAGAAAATGAAAAAATTAAAGGAAGGAAACTGAAAAAGAAATAAGGAAAAAAGGGGAGAAAATTGGCTTAAAATCGTTACCAATATTATGTGAACAGGATTATTTTTTTTCTTCAAATTTAAGGAAAGTTGAGTGCTTTCTGAACTAAATTATTTAAGAATTTTAATTTCTATCCTATCTTGTGAAATGATAGGGTTTAATTTTTTTTTTTTTTTGTATTTTAAGAAGCTTATCCTTTTCTCTTCTTTTATTTGATTAATGATTCTAATGAACCATCGTACAGCAAAGAGTGACATGGAATCAAATTTAAATTATATACAAAATATGGCCAGGTTTAGGAGAAGCTGTTTGTACTAATTTAAATTTTCTGAAAACTGAAGATTTTCATGCTTTACAATATTGGCTATTCGTGATTTAAAAATTTTCAGTAGTACATTTATTTTTAGTTTAAGTAAAATCTCTACAAAGCTTCTCAATTATTCAACAGCAATTAAGGGAAGGAAAACAGGAAAAACTTTTTAAACTATATGTGATAAGTTCAATTCTAGTTTTTTAGTTTTACATTAATTAATTGTAACCCTTATTGAATTTTTCAGGTCAATAATTTTTCTCATGCGGCGCTCCCCTTACTTATCTATCTATGCTATTTATAACTTTTGTGCCCCCAATCCCTGAAGAAATTCCTAGCTACGGACCTGCATCCAACTCCAACTACATCTAACAGTTTTAGGCCAGAAAACCCTTAGGTCAGTTTCCTGAAGGTAGAAGAGTTGAAAGGTTACACAGAAGAACAGAAATCATTAGCTGTTAAAGTAATATAAATAACTCTAAAGGGTGTACTAAAAGACATACAAATTTGGTTTTAAGTTGGTAACTACAGTAACTATGTTCACAAAAAAGAGCCTTGTTAAGATCACACCCTGTACAGTGTACAGTATACACTACACACTGTACAGTGTATAACCTAATTTGACAAGAGTCAGATTTGTATTTCTCTAATAAATAGATAGCAAACAGAACCTACAAATATAAATCTTCTTTATGTTTATATTTATTCCCTTCTTTAGGGGGGTGTATATTTTTAAGAATTCCCCCCCCCCCAAAAAAAAAGGCAAGCTTTATCATCATTTTGAACAATTTTAACCCAAAAGGTTACTTTTTTTCTTAAAATAGATTTTTTCCCTTACCATTGTTTGCGCTCTGGGAGAAAAAATATTTTCAAAAGGGGAACGGGGGGAAATGATTTTTCAAGATAATATTATTTTTTATATTATTAAAGTCACGTGACCCGAATGTCAGTATCACGTTTCAGATCTCGCGTATCACAAGTTCTTTCGTAGAAACGCTAGCAGCGAGGTCAGATAGTGTTCATTGGAGTCGGGGTGCCGCAAACTGTGACGTTCACCGGGATACATCTGCAAAAGAAAGTTGTTAAAAATGTATTCCATATCTACTGCCACCCCATCCCCTTGAGTCGCCCCTCAAATTGTTAGATTTGATCGAAATTATTATTATTATTAAAAAAAAAACGATTAACCACCATAAACTATACAATCCGGAAAACCATTAACCATCATTAACCCTACTAACCAGAAAACCAATAAATACATACGTATGACATTCATGACATTCGTATATATGCGTATTTTTAGGTTTGGAATACGTAAAAATACGCGCGCATGTAAACGAATGTCGTTTTCTTCTTTTAATAATAATAATTCTCTTGAAAAATCATATAATAATTTTAAATTCTAACTTACAAATGCATTTTTGTGCAGTTGAGGTTTCGTGAATATATTGACACTTAATGAAATAAGTTGGCATGAAATTAATTTACGTATTTTTAGGTTTGCATTGCATTTTTCAACTCTAAACAATACTATTTTTTAAGTAAAGAAAACCCACATTACGTGAAAATACGTAAAATAAAAACCTTAAAACTTAAAAAATTATTTGGTGAAAAGTAAACGCAATTATTCGTAAAAATAAGTTTCTGGAAAACCTAAGCACTTTTTAAAAACCGCTTTGTATGATAAATACGGATAAATACGTAAAAATACGTAAATATACGCAAGTTCTTTACCAAAAACATAAGAATATTTTCGTAAATATGCCTAAAAATACGTATACCTTTAAAGAGATTTTAGTATTTTTCATAGATAAATAAATAAACATAGATAGCTTATGTACGCAAAATCATCAAGAATTGTACAATCCGCGAACTAATACTTCTAGGGGTCAAAGTGTACTTCAATGATAAGCGGGGTGGTTTGGTGTTTTAAAAGATTTCATAATAGAGTGTAAAATAACTCCGGGAATGGAACTATTTGAACAACAATATTTCACTGAGCAATATATCATATTGACGAGAACTGAAGAAGGACATGAAAAGGACAAACTAACTTAAATTTCTCTTTACAGAACTCATGTACACCACAAGTAATCAATGACATAAGAACAGTCAATGTTCACAACCGACCTAGTTGATCTATATAATAGGAATATCTTTAAAACATCTCCATACATTTATATCTTTAAAGATTAAAAATGTCGTCTTATGCGTAATCTATCTTTATCTATTGTAGTTTTAGGTTTTCGGTTTAATATGGATTATCAAGGCCGAGTCTGCATCAAAAATAGTCATGGAAAGACGAAAAGGAATGTTTCAGCTGATAAATGACACAAATCTAGTATCAAAATGTCTAGTAGACTATGAACTATGAACAAAACTAATTGAAACTTCTCGTTCTTGGCTCTGCGGTTTGGCCTATGAAAGATATAAAAAGAAAATTTTTTTTCTAGTATTTTTTTAGTTGAAATCATATCAAACCTTTAAACTATTCCCAGTAAAAACATAAACTAATTTGCAAGGTTACCAATATGCATGGGAATTAATAGACGACTTAAAAATCTGCTTGATTTCCGATATTTAATCAATTACAATAAGCGTTTCAAAAACAAGATTGCATGCCTTATGAGCTTTGCAAAATATGTTCCTTATCATTAAAATTTGAACAATATTTTGTTGTATTCAATAATTTGCCATTTAAAAGATGGAAAAATGGTCGACCACATTTTGGAAATCTCAAAACAAGTAGTTTTGATGATAACTGCTTTTACTGGGATACTGTTAAAGTCGTTTTTACGAAATAATGAAATAATGCCACGAGGAGCAAAGACGGTTTAAGAGTCGTCACTTAATTCCCATGTTTATTGTGACTCCTAGAATATATTATATAAACTAACCTGTAAATGATAAGGTTTTCCATGCTTTATCAGCAGATTAACAAGTTGACCAGTGTGTTGCATAAAATGAACGTTTTCGTCCATTGCTCCGTGCATAATCATAAGCCGGCCATCTTCGTCTGGCAGCTGGTCGACAAAATTTAGAATTGAACCTAAAAATGAATAGAAGTTCAATATTAATGGATGGGAAGCAAATACTTATCAGATTATTATAAAAAGAACTGTAAATTTGACTCCAAGGGACTCCCAAACAGAAGATGTTCATGTCTGATTCACAACGGTACCATTAAACCCCTTATCTGAAGAAAAATAGAGAAGATATCATCGTTTTGCTTTCTACAAAATGTCAATTTCTCTTTTTGGTAATTTTTGTCCCTTCCACAGTTGTCGTCCTATTTATCAAAAGAACGAAGGCAACTTTCAATTTCTACCAAGTTCGCGTGGAGTACATGGATACACAAAAACATGGAAACAAAGAGAACCTGTCAATTGACAGTTTCTCTTTATTTACTTTTAAAATTGTAGCTTGAAAAAAGCGTGTTGAAATAAAAACTTAAATACAAAAGTTGTCTTTATTGTATTGATATAAACGCCGACATAAATCCGGCAGTCACATTTTAACAGAGAAACCATAATTCAAAATTCATCAGTTTCAAGATAGCAAAACTCTACGAAGACGAAGGTATGAAGGTTAGTGTTGAGAATCAGAGATGCAACTCATTTAACTGGAA